AATCAATCTGTGAGAAGTTAGTCCTTTCTCTTAGTTTTTTTCCACCATCCACTATTTCATTTGAATCAAGCCCCATCGAGGTATGTTTCTACCTCCTAGGAATGCTGATTGTGCTTCACCAATTACATCCTGGACATGACTTTTTTTAGTCTACTTAGCAAAAACCTTGGAGAGTATTTTATACACTGACCCTATAAGACTAATGGGTCTAAACTCACTTTAATTGGCTGCATCAATTTCTTAGGTAAAGGTATGAAAGAGCTGTTAACAAGCCTTAGCCCAATCATGCCCCTGTCATGAAAATCGTGAAAAAGAGCATCCATCTTCTTGGAGCACCTTCCAAACTCTGGAAAAAATAGCAAGTGAAACACCATCTGACCCCGGGGCGCTTTGTTGCCATTACGTCTTGACGCTCCCCAAACCTCCCACTGCTGTGAAAATTCTGACTCTAGGATATGAAATGAATCCACTTGCCATACATTTTAAACTCGCCCACCTATTATAGGTCAAGTCTCCACTCTCTGAGAACTGGTTTGTAAAATGTGACCATACCTCAATTTGACCTTGTGAATTGGTTCGCTCAATTGCCACCTTCCCCACAACCCAATGGAGTTGAGGGCATTTTATTTTTTTACTAGTAGCCATGACTGAAATATCTTTGATGTTCCTCATCCCCCTTTCATATTCAGTTCGAGCCTTGACTTTTGAAAGCCATTCCCATCCAGCATTCTACTTAATCTCCACATCTCATTCCTTGCCTCACTTTTTTGTTTGATTTTAGCATCCTCCAGAGGTCTTACCTCAGCCCTCAAATCAAGTGCATTCAGTTTATCTTCTGATGCTTTTAGTTGAGCTGCAGTATTACCATATACTTCTTTATTCCATTTTTTTAGTACCATCTTTAAAGCTTGTAATTTCCTTAGCAGAGTGACCCCAGCAGTCCCTTGAATCTGTAACTCCTTCCATGTATTCTCCACAAAAGGTGTGAACTGTGAGTGCAATAACCAGGCATTTAAGAATTTGAAAGGTTTAGGACCCCAGTCCCTCTCATCTTCCATAAGTACTATCGGGCAATGATCTGAAACCAACCTAGGCAGTCCCCACAGTTTGTATCTATATCTTTCAATCCACTCAGGGCTAAGAAGGAATCTATCTATTCTGCTCCATTTGTGGCCATCATGAGCATTACACCAAGTAAATTTTCTCCATACCATGGGCAGATCAGTCACCTCGCATCTATCTATGAACTCATTAAACTCTTTCATGCCCCTGTCCCTCCTTGAGCTTCCTATTCTTTCCCCCAAATTTCTGATCTCATTGAAATCACCTCCTAGACACCATGGTTTGGGGAAAATGGACTTTAAATACAACAATGACTCCCATAACTTACCTCTCCTCATAATATCATTTGGGGCATAGACATTTAAGATAACACACTCAAAGGAATTCAGAATAGTACCTGAAAGTAGGATGAAGTTTTTGTTGCTACAGCATTCTGAAAGTTGAAAAACATCAGGGTCCCAAATGCATAACAATCCACCTGCCGCACCTATTGCATCCACTGCCATGATTTCCATCTTTTCTCTTGGCCACAAGTGCAAAAAGTATCATAGCTAAACATATTCATCCCAACTAAGTTGGCACCAATATAAAAGTTCAATCATATGCTACCATCAAGCCAAGAAGAGCAATGAAATACCATTTATACAAAATGTATCAATTTATCATATCTCAACCACATGAACGTATTGTTTTTACAACTTCATTCGTACACAAATCATCATAGAAATGCATTTTATTCAACAATACATAAAAAAGCCAAAACAGACAGCAGATACCAATAAGTTGGCATAAAATATATCCATTCTTCCTCGAGTGTTCCTATAACACTTATTCATTTGTAATATCACAAACTATGATATGCTCTAAGCATTTACAAATGGATAAATCTCGGCCTTGTTTGGTTTGTTTTTGTGTTTCTCAAAAAATCTTGAGAAAAATTCTCTACAAATAAGTTTTTAAAAGTAATCAAACCAAACAAATTTTTCCAAAATTTTTTTCCAAAACTTGTTTGGTTTACAAATTTTTCAAACAAATCTTTCTCTCATACACATCAAATCAATCACTTTTTCCAAAACTCTCTTTCAAAATAATTTTTTAAAACATCTTTTGAAAAAAAATCAAACCAAACAAATTTTCGTACTTTTTATCTCAAAACATATTTCTCAAATACAAACCAAACAAGGCTCTCATATATGAAGTTACAACTCCCTCCAACAACTCTCCCACCTTCTTTTCCATCACAACAACTTGGAAAGCTCACTTATGATTCCATCAAGACACTTCTTACAATCAACACTAGAAAGATCTCTAGTGCATTGAACCAACCCATAGAGTTTCTTTGAATAATATCCGAGCTCCAACTCTCCGGTAGCGTACATTTTTGTTGCAACATAAGCTTGTTGAGATAGCCGACTCAACAAATCTTTGGTTTTTTGGTTGAATAACAAAGGGTTGCTCACATTTCTCAAGTTCCACATGTAGAACCTGTTTCCATTATCAATTTTGCCGAAGAAATCAGTGTTTGAGTATTTTACGAGACAGTTATCGTACCATATGACCGATCCTTTGTTGTATGGGCAGCGTTTGCGAATCTCGCCACTGGCTTCAGCAACGCAGGCAGCGCAGTCTGTGGTGTTGACATCGCCACGACAGAGGGAGAGGCCGTTGGCTGTGTCTTGGTATTGTCCCACTGAGCCAACACCGAACCCTGTTGGAGGAGTTTTGAGGTAGAGATAGCTCATAAGCTTGTTCAAGTTTGATTCATAAGGGCTATTAGCAGTGAAATTTTCAGGACTTGAACAGAAATGGAAGAGAGGGTTGACTCCAATGACAATTTGGATAAGAAGAGTGAAGGAAAGAAGGTAGAGAGAGGAGGTGAATGTTGAGGAAGACATGTTGGAGGAATATGTCTGTGTGTGTGAGAGAGAGAGAGAGAGAGAGATCCATTACATGCCGTGTTTGCTTCAATTTGCCATAATATGAGTGTGGAATCATTTTGGGTAGGTAATAGACTTATGTTCTTGGACAATATGCTGAGCTTTGTGTCATGAAAACTGTGTTAATATGCTCGATATGTTGTTTGTTCTACTTTGTGGTGGTGCTACTATTGCCTATAGTTAGATTTCTCTCGTTCCACTTGCTTTGTTTAATAATACAAATTAAAAATAACTGTTTTTCCTGTGAGTGATGGCTTGTTACTTTTCCTTGTCTTCTGAAACCTGAACAGTGAGCTCTTTGTCTGTTCCTCTGAACTTTATGCCCTCTGCCAATCCTTTTACTTTATCTTTCATGCACCCGCCAAACTGCAATGCAGTCTCCGTTGGTAAGGCTTGGTGCAACGGTAAGGCTTGCTGTTCGCTTCGCTTGTGGTGTGGGTTTGAATCACATAAATGACCTCTCAAAAATGGGGTTAAGGCTGCGTACATCTTATCCTCCCCAGAGCCTGCTTTAGTGGGAGTCTCATGCAATGGGCCGCCCTTTATTTCTTCCTAAGTGTCCAAATTCCTATGTCCTTATATTTTTGCTTTGTTTTTGTTTAGTTAATCTTGAGGGTCTATTAAAAAGGCCTTACTGGTCTGTGGATGGTTATTTGTTTTAAGTTTCGGGTTTCAACATGGAGAGCCACAGTGCAAGATTTTTATTGTGGAGTTTATCTTCCTCCAATCCTTTATGTTACGGTGGGCTTTATTTTTCCTTTCTTTTTTTCTTGTTTTTTGTTTTTTTTTTGCCAGGAGGGTTTCAAATTGTGGTTTTGTGTATACCCATTTTATCAATTATCTTACCAATCGCACTGAATTAGAATTTTTGTGAGCTGCATTTGGTTTTGGAATTTTTTAAAGAAAATAATGAGAATAATTGTTAAAGCCCTTTGTAAACCCTCATTTGGAATCCTCATGCCTTCAAATCTCGTCTCTCTCAACCTTCTCTAAACCGTTATCATTCTCACAGATTCATCTTTGAGATTCAGAGCGATTTCGATTTCGAAGCTCCATCGTCACTACCGTCTGCACCGCCTCGATTTCTCAGATTTCGATTTCATCTGAATCTCTGATTTCGATTTTGATTTTGATTTGGAAGCTCCACTCCCACCACCATCACCAGCGAGGTATCGATTTCTCTGTTTCTCTCAAGCTCTTCCTTCCCGTCTCTCTCGATCTGGTTATTGAAATTGAAATTCTAAACAAGAAACTACAAGTTGATTTGTGGCTGAACACATCATTTTCTTCTTTTCTTTACTCTCTGCTTCGTTGAACTAGATTTAAAGTCTTTGCTTCAAGTCCGTATGTGTGTGTGTGTGTGTGTGTGAGTGAGAGAGAGAGAGAGAGAGAGAGAGAGAGAGAGGATGAGGATGAGGATGAGGAGGAGGAGTTGATTTGTGTCTGAAGGCATCCTTTCCTAATCTGTTATGTTGAAAAAGTTTAAAGATCTCTGAATATATCCAGTTACTTTCCTTTTTCTAGATTCTCTTTAGCTTGAGGTACAAATCTCCAATCTCTTCACTTTCTCTACCTTCAAATCTTGTGTGTATGTATATTTGGATTTAATATGCTAAGCTCAAGTTGAAGTTCTCTCTTTCTTGTTCTCTGTTAGATTTCTATTTTTCTATTATTTTTCACTGCACACAAAACACAAAAAGAGACACAAAAATGCACTTGTTGGTTTGTCTCTTGCTCTAAAAGTAGTCCACTATTATGACTTGTAAGACCCAACAACCATCTATATATATGTGTGTATGTATATATGCTAAAAGGGTTTATTATTGTTGAATTTGTAAATTTGAATTGAAGGGCAGTTTAGAAGAAGGCCATGGGAGAGGGAGAGGGAGATGAAGGTCAAGATCATCAGACCTCTTTGGTTGATTCTTCCATTGACAAAACCGGTTTGTCTTTCTTTCACTTTCTTTCTCTTCCCTTGTTTCCCCCCCCATGAATTATTTAATGTTTTATGTGTGTGTGTGTGTATATTATGTATTCAATTGTGTGTATGCATGTATGTATTTGTGAACTTGGCGGATAGATAAATAAACCAGACCAAACCAAACTAAGCCCTTGTGTCTCAATCAGGTTGGTTCGGATAGATAAAGTCACATCTCATAATATGACACATTTGTCTTCACATATATCCAGTATCCTTCATCTAAACCTTACCTCAGTTTGTAATGGGCCTTTTTATGCCCTTACAGTTTGAGTGGCAGAAGTCCAGTCAAGAACTAACTAGTTTCCCATGCACCACAAGCTTAGGCTTAATAATTTGCACGCTGAGTGCATTTGCTATCACTAGAGAAATTATTGTTTATGTATTCCTAGGGCAGTTTTTAGAGCTTTGATGATAATATCTATTGTTCCTGAATCTTAATGCTGTGGGGCATGCGGTAAGAACTCCTTGACATCTATTAGAATGTATTGGCCGAGGAGAGATTCAAACAAATTATTGATACATTATCAAATTCTAATTCCACATATTCTGTAAGTTTTTCTGTCCTGGAAGCATAGAATTCTAGTTTGAAATTGTACTGCTATAATTAATTTCATCCTAAACCTTATTTATGAGTATTGGTGGTCCCTGACACTAGGTTCTCTGCTGTTAGTCATATGAATTTGGATTTTGGGTTCCTATCATTAGAGAACTTCAAAGCTGCCCTTTCAAGTATCCAAAGGCAGCCAAAGGTGGAATGTTTAAAAGGTATGGGTATTTTATTAGATTTTTTTTGACCTTTCACATGCATTTTTTTGCTTTTACGATTCTCATTATTCTAAATTCTAGTCCTCCCAAAGTAGTCCACTAAATTCTAGTGAGTAGGTGAGTAGTAAATAGAAACCAATTTTATTGAAGTTTTTTTTTTTGTTTTTTGGTTCAACAGGTTATTGCTGTTGCCCTAGGGTTCATTGCATCTGATATGACTGCTAAGCTTGGGGGAGACATTGAGAAGAAAATCTTGGAAACCATCCCCTTGAAACTCATTTTGAATCGTTTAACATGAATCGAATTGTGAATGATGCGATTCACCATCGATTCTGTCCCAAAATAGATTCACATCGATCTATGCATGAATCATGAATTGATTCGTGAATCAAATCACGAATTGTAAGATATTGATAAGATAGGTACTATTTTCAACCACCATTTTACCTCTTAATTAATGGGAATAGTAGGCCGTTATTGTTGTTAGAGATAGACTTTTGTTTTGTGGAAGTTCAGTTTTTTAGTGGATCTATAGTTGAATACGATGCTCCTGGACACTCATGTACTACTATGCTTTACAGTGCCGATGGAAGTAGGTAATGTTATTGAAATTAAAGATATCAAACATGATGTAGGTTGGTTCCTTGATCATTTTCTTGTACCCCTGCTCTTTTTGTGTTTTCGAATCCCTTGATGAAATATAGCTGGTCAAATCCTGTTAATCATTCCGCCTCTTCTCTTCATTCCTTATCCTTTCTTTCAGATTGTTCTTTTGTGGAACGGGTAAAGATGGGGATTCTTTCCTTGTTGAATGGAATGAAAGTGAAGGAGGCAATAAAGAGGACATACTCTGGGTCTGAGAAAGAAAATCTCTGTTTGGTGTTTGTGCGTTGACACAATCAAACCTTTTTGGCCGTGGGTGGAAGATCACGCAAATTAAAGTTTTTGAACATGACAATGAAGCGGAATTATCACTAGTAATGGATGCAGAGGGTGGACTTTTTCGGGTCAGTGTAAATCTTTATAGTTGTTTGTGGGAAACACCCAGCGTTGTTTGAATTCAGCTTCTGTAGACACCCGGCAAGCCATTTTTGACCTACCTTAAGACTCAAGATGTGCACGCAGTTGAAGTGCTCGGGTGATATTGCATAATAGTGCTCGTTCCAGGATTTACGAGTTCTCGGCTGGAGCCTGCTTCCGGACTTCCGGACGTCTTTCATACCTTTGCCTCGGTTGGTTTTGCGAATCAAAGGGCCTCTGTTTTCTTTCTTCCCGAAATGGGAGGAGAGGTTTCCTCGTTAAAAGGATTTCATCTCTTTTTCCAGTGGGCCCATTTTTTAGGGGGCTTACGGTTGTTTTTTTTCGGTTGGGGGTTTTCGTGTTTTAAAGGATTCCCTCTTTTCCTTTTTTTTTCCTGG